CTGCTGGCTGTTTGTTGCAGAAATGCTTTAGAATGGGAGTTTGGGGAAATGAGTGTGAGCGACTCAGGAAGAAAAGTCCTTTTCCTCTTTTGTTCCAGTGTTGAATTCCTTCCCGGGCTCAGTTGCCTGCGCTCTGCTGGTGGGTTTTCACCTGAGGATACCTTTTCTGTTGTGTCTTTTAGAGTGAAAGGAAGGGAGGATGAGAGTGGCAAAGTCACACACCGCTTGGTTGCTTCCTGCATGCTGATCCGGAATTGAACGTGGGATCCTATGGTGCTTGGGCCAACACTAACCAGCAAGACACATGGGCCAGGGCTCTAGAATTCTTGCTTGTTTGGTCTTCATTAGAAAGATGATGTAAACCTTGAATGAATCTGCTGCAAATCAGAACCACTGTTTTTCACCAGCTTTTCAAAAATGGCAAAACTTATCTAGAAGTTAATATAAAATATCTAAGGTTCCAAGCCACAATCTGGTAGCAAATTCAGCCCAGTAGCCTATACACATTTGTCCACAGACAGAAGTTTCATCTACATGATCCTCATATTGAATTCCCAAAGGAAGATAGATTTATTTTCAGTCTATTTACTGAAGCATGAGAGGGGTCTTTGTAAATAATGTCTACAATTGGAATGGTAGGTGCTTGTGTTGGGTGGCTTGAGTTTGAGCCCTGAATTAGGCATTTGCTACCTGAGTGACCCTGGGCGGGTCATTGCTCTATGCCTTACTCTCCTCATCTGTATGTCAGCATATAAAGAACTCCTACATTTTAGTGAGTTAATATTTTATAGTGCTTAACACAGTGCTTGGCATGATGTACATGCTTTAGAAATACAGGCAAATAAGCCTCCTCTGGGGCTTGGGTGAATTCTCAGAGAACGAATTAACCAGAACACTCCAACTCTCAACTCGCCTTGTTTAGCATCAGAAATTAAGAATCACTTTAGAATATTTTAATAACTGAAGCCTTACAAGTAAATATTTAATATCTTAAATATTTTGATAGGATTTCCAACTTAATGAAAAGTTGAAAAAATAGAAAAATAATTCTCATATAGCCTTCACCAATTGCTTACATTTTGCTCATTTGTTTTCTCATTAATGAATTAATGAATTCGCTAATTTTTCTCTTTTCCCTTCCTTTCCCCTTTCCTCCCTTCTCTCTCTTTTCTCTCAGAATCATTTGAAAGTTTGGAGACATTTGACCCTTTATGATTAAATATTTCAGGTCGTTTTCCCCCCCTATTTTAATTTAATTTTATTGTTTAAAATATTACACATAGAAGTACATATATCCTCCCCCCATTGACATTCCCCCAGCTTCCCCTACCCTCTGTCCCATGCCCTCATCCCACCTCCCGCTGCCCCCAGTGTCTTGTGTCCATTGGTTGTGCTTACATGCATACAAGTCCTTTGGTTGATTTCTTTCCGCCCCACTCCACAACACTCCCCAGCCCTCCCACTGTAATTTGAAAGTCTGTTCAATGCTTCACTGCCTCTGTATCTATCTTTTTGTTCATTGGGTTATAATGCTCTTTATTTTCCATAAATGAGTGAGATCATGTGGTATTTTTCTTTCATTGCCTGGCTTATTTCACTAGCATAATGCTCTCCAGTTCCATCCATGCTGCTGCAAATGGTGAGAATTTCTTCTTTTTTATAGCAGCATAGTATTCCATTGTGTAGATGTATCATAATTTTCTAATCCACTCCTCTGCTAATGAGCACTTAGGCTGTTTCCAAACCTTAGCTATGGTGAATTGTGCTGCTATGAGCATAAGGGTGCATATATCCTTTCTGATTGGTGTTTCTAGTTTCTTGGGATATATTCCTAGAAGTGGGATCACTGAAACCAAAAGCATTCCCTTCCCGTCACTTCCTTTCTTTCTCTTGTGTCCCAACAATAGCGCTGCCCTTCCTGCCAGTCTGCTTCCAAAGCTGCTTGTCTAATATTTTCAATGGTGAGAGACACTGACCGTATTGAGACTGAAAAAAACTGTTACCGTGTCCAACATGTCAAATGGGAGTTCCATTTTTATTTTTTTGAGGAAACTCCATACTGTTCCTTTATGATTAAATATTTTGGTCCTTTTTTTTTTTTTTTAAATTGCAAGTACATTTTCTTTCCTAACTACAGAATAATGATCAAAATCAGGAAATTTAATGTTGACACAAAACTAATTTAACCTATCATCTATATTTAGAATTTGTTAATTGTCCCAATAATGTCATTTACAACTATATCTGTATGTATTTGTTATATGTGTTTATGTATGTGTAGGATTGTATGTATGTTCGCATGTGTGTTTGTGTGTATGTATATGTATGGGTGTATGTGCGTGGTGTGTGCAGTTCATTCTGAGGATAACTCTTTATGTGTGTATTTTTTGCCCAAGATCCATTGTGGGATCACAATTGCATTTAGTTGTTATGTGTCTGTCCTTTACTTGAGAATATTCCTCACATGTGTGTATATATGTTTGCATATATATACATGCATATATCTTACATGTACACACATATCATTCATGAACTTGACACTTTTTAAGAATATAGAGCAATTCTGTTGCAGAATGCTCGCAAATTCGAATTAGTTTGATTTTAACTCATGATTAGACCCAGGTTTAAGATTATTGTGTCGTACAATTTTAAAAGGACCTGGGATATTTCATCATTGTAGGCTTTTAGAATGACAGTGAGAACTTGATGCTGTACAGATTGATGTGTGGAGGGAGGCGGGTGCAAGAAAATGGACAGGAGCGAGATTCTGAGGGTGCTTACCTATACCTAGCAAATAACTATGTCCCCAAAGAGTAACCCTCTTGGGAGTTGTCCCCCGGGCAGGGCAGGCAAGTAGAGGAAAAGAGGAAAGGTGAAGCCTCTGCGTTTGTTCCTTGGTAAGAACCCGGCGTGGCAGCATCCTTCCTGTGCGCAGGCGCAGATGAAACATCCGAAGAACGGTCCTGCCTCAGCAGCTCAGAGGCACTTGGCACCAGGACACAGGAACAGGCTACGCTCCTGTGGCAACAAGGGACCATCTCCACACCAGGTGGGAGGTGCAAAGCACAGCCCGCCTCCACATGCTGGTCTTTTTAATTCCTTCTGAGAATTAGTGGACACGGTAACAGTTTTTTTCAGTCTCGATACGGTCAGTGTCTCTCAGCATTGAAGATATTAGACAAGCGGCTTCGGAAGCAGACTGGCAGCAAGGGCAGCTCTACTGCTGGGACACAAGAGAGAGAAAGGGAGTGACGGGAAGGGAATGCTTTTGGTTTCATGCACAACATTATTGGTGGTATTGGGCTGCTAACATCGGGAAATGACAAGAGTTACTCCTTCTCCGTAAGTGTCAGGGTCTACTGTGGGGAATCTGACTGAGTGAGTTACTGCTCAGCCTACAATTAAAGTCCTGGCTTTGTGTCTGGCATATGAACCATTAGGTCACATTTCTTTTCACTGATGGACCCATGTTTCAATGAATTGAAGAAAAGAATCCCCAGTGGCTCTGTTTGTGTGAAGAAAACAAGATAAATATTAGATGGGAAAGGTCAAGTTGGCTTCCAATATTGTGGGAGTTCATTATGATGGGCTCTGATGAATTACACTGTGTGTTTCTTTTCGATATGAGAAGGTCACATTGTGCTCTCGGGTGGGCATCAGGACAAACATATTGAATAAGGTTGCGGTGTCTGGGAGATGAACACGCGCAGTGTTTCTGAGCCCCTTGTATTTATACAGTGACAGCACTTTCCTCCGGCTGAGCGGATGACTCATTTTTTCTCTCTTCTGCATCCCAGAAGCCTCACGCCTGCTCCTGAATGTGCTCTCGAGGCAAACGAGCGTTTATCTTCAGGGATGTCTGCAGAGAAGAAAACTTTCAGCTGTGCTTTGGGGCAGATTTGTAATGGGCTAGGTGCACGAAATTCGTGCATGGGGGGCGGGTTGTCCCTCAGCCCAGCCTGCACTCTCTCCAATCTGGGACCCATCAAGGGATGTCCGACTGCCCATTTAGGCCCAATCTTGATGGCCTGGTCACCCCCAACTGCCCTCCCCTGCTGACCCGGTCACCCCTGACTTCCCTCCCTTGCCAGGATTCTACAGTCAGTAGGCTTTGTGGCAAGAATAATTTTTATATTGTATTTGCAACTTTAATACTACTGACACATGATTATTTTTCGTTAATCTCCACCATGGGAGGGACGTATTTAACTTAGCAACACTAAAAGTGGTATACACAGGACGTTAAAAGTGGTATACACAGGATGTTAAAAGTGGTATAGTTTCACCACTTGTTTTTGTTGTTAAGATGCCTTTGGTTTAGCAACATCTGAGTTCTCTTTGTGAGGATGTTTTTGCTGAGGAGCAAAGGCCTTTTGGGTCTGAGCACTAAAGGGGCGCATGAGTGTGAGTCATGGTGTGGACAATGCCCTCTGGATTTTGGAATGGTGTTTTCTGCTGGAACCACTTTTGCCCTCTGCCTCCCATCAACACTTTTCCAAAAGCCCTTGCCGATGGATTAGCACCATCTTTGGGTTTATGTCTCAGGAAGCCAGGAGGTCAGATCTTTGTGCTGGCTCTTCCCCTGCGCTGTGAGTGTGGGCAGGCTGCAGAGCGCTTGGGAAGGGACCATCCCCAAGCCCATTTTCTACCCTTTGTTAGGGAAACCAGAGAGTGGAAATTTACATCATGAATGAATGGTTTTGGAGTCTCAGTCAGATTTTGAATGTCTTTGCTGTTGAGGGAATTTTTACTTTAAAATTGTATTCTGTTAACTAATATGTGGCTAGTTAATGAGTGTGGGATTTTGTATACCCCTCTTTCCCTACCCCCTCACCGCATACTCAGGACACTTCACAGATGTATATGTGCTTGGCTGTGTACTACTTGCCTGAAACTGCAGGCATAATTGTAAAAAAAACATTATTTTGCTACTGGAAATTTGTATCATTTCAACATGAAAATGCTAATGGCTTCCTGTTTTCTTTTTTTGAAATAGGTCTTCCAAGCTAAGATAACTACAGAAATGGCTGGTCCTCACTACAAATGGAAATGGTAGTCACTCCAAAATACATCCTGGAATAATTGTGTTCCTGGAACCAAATCTTATGAAGTCTCCCAGGTAAAATAACTCTAACACTACCCAGAGATGACATTGTTATGAAGCACTAAGAATGTAGCGAAATGGAGTATTCTGGAGTTGATGATTCTTTATAAAAGCCTTCCTTTGCATTTAATTTTTGGAATTTGGGGAATTCTAGTTTTTTAAATTTTAGTTCTCATCTTGGAAATTATTTCAGTTTGTAAAGCAGTGTTCTGGCTTTCAGTGGGGTGCAATGTGCGATTTTTAAGATAAACCAGTGGAGAGCATTGAGGCTGAAGCAGCACAGTAGGTGAGAGCCAGGAGCCTTTTACTTGGGGCTGGATTATTGGATGAAACGAGGAATTGCTCCATTGTGGCCCCTCCTCCCCGCGTCTCTCCAGGAGTCACTGCTTTATTAAGTCACTGCTTCTTCTGGGCCCTTGGGCCTCGCTGCTACTCAGGAAGAGTCACCCACATAAGAAGGTGGAGCAGGGCTAGTGCCTGACACTGGAATGGCTGCTCTTGAGACTTTTGATTTGGGATTTGTTGTTAGGATCTCACTGGAAGACAGAACCATTCTGAGGATATGGGGCAGAGAGAACTGAACCCAGGAACTGCTCACACATGTGGCAGGAGAGTCAGGGAGGTCAGTCTTCTGATAGGGGGCAGCTCTGACCTTAGCAACAGTAGGAAGCTGCTCCCTCCGGGGCTGGAGGAGCAAGGAGGGAAGTGTTTGCACTCCTGGGGGAGGAACCTTCAGCAGGAGCTTGCACGTGGGGAAGAAATAGCCAGCTCCGTAGGACCTGCCCAAGACAGAAGCTGCTTCAGAGGTAGATTGAGTCTCAAACCAGTGAGCAATATGATACCTTTACAATAAGATCTATTTGACCAAACTGTGAGAGGGAGGGAGTGGGGGGGAGAGAGGGGACGCTTGGCAGAGTGGGTTCCTGTAGATGTGGCCCCAGCCCCGAGGCTGTGTCCCCTGCAGCGCAGAATCAGGTTCTGGCTGAGGCTCTGTGCACTGGCAGGTGGTTCCTAGACCCGTCCTTCCTTCCAGGACCCCCTCAGTCCCTGCTCCCAGGGTTCCCGGACAGAGTCCACCCCATGAGCTATGTCCGGGTTGAGTTTGTACATCCTGTAATGAAGAGTGGGTTCCTTGGATCCACTGCAGTGGATTATGTTATCAGGGACCCCACAGGACCCGGGCCAGGCAGAGCTAACACCATCGCAGTCTCCAATGCCAAGCGCCCTGACTTTTACTTGAAAAAGTTAATTTTAAAAAAAGCAAACAGAAAGCTAATCAAGTTCTAATTTCCCTAAATATAAAAAGGGGCAGGAAATTAGGGGGTGGTGTGCATTTTTTTCCCAATAGGTTTATTTCTAACTCTTGGTTTAAATGTTGTGTGTGTGTGTGTTTGGTGTGCATTTTTTTATAATTTCTTTTTCTATTCTTTTCTGGGTTTGTTTTAGAATAGACTATACAACCACATTTGTGAACTGAATTGTCTTTGAACAACTGTTTTGATGAAATTGTTTGTTTATTTATTTTGTCGGGTTTATTGAGATGTATTTGTCACATAGCATTGTGTATGTTTGTACAACGTGTCAACTTGATGTCTCTGAACTACAAAACAATGCCACCGTGGCACTAGCTGCCTCCTCCGTTCCTCTCGCAGAGCCTTTTATTGTGTGTGTGTGTGTGTGTGTGTGTGTGTGTGTGTATGTGTTTGCGCGCGCATGCTTGTGTATGCGGTGAGGACATGGAAGACCTCCTGTTTTAGCCACTTTATGAGACAGCGTCATTAGCTGTAATCCTCGTGCTCCAGATGAGATCCCAATACTTGTTGATTTCATCACATTTCAAAATGTAGGAACTTTAATCCCTACATTTTGCCATTTGTTCATCTCAGCCCCTGCTCTCACCCCTCTGCTCTCTCTTTCTGTGGGTTGGTCTTTTTTAGATTCCACATAGACATGGTATCATAGCATATTTCTCTTTCTCTGTCTGACTTACTTAGCTAATGCCATCGAGGTCCATCCAAACTGAGGCCCTCAGGGCTGAACAATATTCATACATTCATCCATTCATTTGAGATGTCCATATGAAGTTCATTTCTATCCACCTGTACTTGCCCATATTCCCACCATTAAACTTTGAGATTCATTTAATGAGCTACGAGGCCAATCCTCTAGGATTTGTAAATAACCAACGAAACCAGGACAGAACATTTCTGTGGTTTCTCTCAGGTGCAGAAACCTGTGTAATTACAAGTATTTGAATTTCCACTCGGGGTGCAGCTTTCAAATCCTGGGCTATAAAATGGTACGTGACCGCCTGCTCTGTCAGGCAACCCGCGCTGCACCAGGGGGTCCATAGAGAGACTTCCCCCTGGGCACGTTGCTCACTCGGAAACTCTCAGTTACAGAAGGTGCTTGTTGAGGGTTGGGTGACTGCACAGCACGGCTGAGCCCTCCACCTTCTCCCCTGCACCGTGCTGGCCACAGAGCCGGGAGGCCGGCTCACCCTGCCCCTGTCCTTTCTCCTAGGATGAAAGTTTCTGCGAAGGCAGCCTGGCCACCACTCTGGCTCTTCCTAGCCTCCGTGCTAATGGTCTGCTGTGAGCTGATGGCCGCTCCCAGCCCACACCCCCGGGGACGCACAGGTAGGCCGTTTAAACCTTTTGTGCTGAGGAGGTCGATTAAGCAAACCCTTTCAGAGTCAGAGGCCATGTTAGACCAGGCCGTGGACAGGAGCTCTTGGTGACATGCCACTTCCCGAGGGAGCGGGAAGCCAGCAGAGACATCACTGAAAGGTTTGTGCCGAGTGTCCTTCGGGCACCGTGTGCTCCGGGCTCTCCTCTCTGCCCTTCCTGAGGACACTTGCATTTCTGTAGCGATTTCAAAAAGGGATCCAGAAGAACAGCAGCACTTTATTGTTTTTTTCAGTAAGTACATGAAATTCATCTTTTCTTTTTAAAAAAACTCATAAGTTTATTTATTTTAAATTAAAAAAAATTTACTCTTTCAGTTACAGTTGACACTTAAGACGATCTGAGTTTTGGGTGTATAATATAGAGGTCAGACAGCTCAATAATTTAAGAAGTGGGCCCCGTGAATCTAGTACCTACCCGGCCACATGCACAATTCTGACCACATTACTGACTACATTTCTTATTACTTCACATTCCTGGGACTACTTTCTAATTACCAATTTGTTCTTATTTCTTTCAGCTTTTTCACCCAGCCCCCTAACCCCCTTCTCCTCTGGCAGCCATCAAAAGATAGTTTGTTTTCTGTCTTTTTAAAAAAATATATTTTATTGATTTTTTTACAGAGAGGAGGAGAGAGGGATAGAGAGCCAGAAACGTCGATGAGAGAGAAATATCCACCAGCTGCCTCTTGCACACCCCCTACCGGGGATGTGCCCGCAACCAATGTACATGCCCTTGACCAAAATCGAACCTGGGACCTTTCAGTCCACAGACCGACACTCTACCACTGAGCCAAACCGGTTTCGGCTGTTTTCTGTCTTTTATTTGGTTTTGTTTGTTTATTTTGTTCTTTAATTTCCAAAGATAAGTGAAATTATATGACATTCGTCTTTCTCTGTTCAACTTATTTTACTTAGCACAATACCCTCTCAGTCAGTGGTCGGCAAGCTCATTAGTCCACAGAGCCAAATATCAACAGTACAATGGTTGAAATTTCTTTTAGAGCCAGTTTTTTTAAAACTTATACTTCTCCTAATGCCACTTCTTCAAAATAGACTCAGGCCATGGTATTTTGTGGAAGAGCCAGACTCAAGGGGCCAAAGAGCTGCATGTGGCTTGCTGACCACGGCTCTAGGTTCATCCACGTTGTTGCACATTTAGTGATGGCCGAGGAGCACTCCGTGTGTGAATGTACCACAGCTTTTTGTCCCCTCACCTTCTGGGGGGCACCGGGCTGTCGCCATGTCTGGCTGCTGTGAATGCCGCTTCGGCAGCACTTCACTATGTGCCTGTGTCCCTGCAGCCTCATTTGAAGGCAGAACATCTTTATCATGAACTTGAAGTGCACAGGGCGCAACAGAGGGAGCTTCAAGATAATTGAAGGCCCTTTTCAGATGGGAGGAAAGATGATGGATGGTTTTTTAAAAAGAAGGAAGAATTAAAGCAAAGAACAGGACTGCCCCTTGTAGGGGACCTAACTGGAATGCCAAAAATTGTGGAGACTCATTCTGAACGTTTCTAGTGAGACCCATGTTTGTACTCTGCTTATTTCTAAATAAAGATGAATCAGTTATGCACCTCTCTCTCTGTGTTTCTCTCTGCTTTTTCTTGTTACATATATGTTTAAAGTGACACCAACTTGGAAACACCCTAATGAATTGCATTTTCCTGAATAACTTACATTTATCAGTAGAGTCACAACTAATTGTCTCTGCTTTGGTTATCTGAGGTGGCAGTCCCAGGCATGTTTTTTTTTTTTTTTTTTTTTCCTCCTTTAAAATTTTTTTATTTTATTTTTATTTTTCTTTTTTTTAAATTTTATTTATTATTATTATTATTATTTTTTAAAATAAATTTTTATTGTTCAGATTATTACAAATGTTCCCCCCATCCCCACCATTGCTCTCCTTCACCAGGTTCCCACCCCACCCTCTGCCCTTTCCCCACTCCCCATTGTCCTCATCCATAGGTGCACAGTTTATGTTCAGTCTCTTCCCACACCCCCCACTCCCCTTTTCCCCAAGAATCATCAGTTCACTCTCCTTCCATACCTCTGATTCTATTATATTCAACAGTTAATATTGTTTATCAGATTTTTTTTTTAAATTTCCTTGGTTTTTAGTTTCACTTGTTGATAGTTACATATTTGTTCATAATTTTTATCTTTATTTACTTTCTCTTCTGGAAGAACCCCCTTCAGCAATTCATATAATTCTGGTTTGGTGTTGATGAACTCCTTTAGCTTTTTTTTTTTTTTATTAGTGAAGCTCTTCATCTGACCTTCGATTCTGAGTGATAGCTTTGCTGGGTAGATTATCTTTGGCTGTAGGTTCTTACTATGCATCACCTTGAATATTTCTTGCCATTCCCATCTGGCCTGCATGGTTTCTGTAGAGAAATCAGCTGACAATCGTATATGTGATCCTTTATAGGTAACTACCTTCTTTGCTCTTGCTTCTTTTAATATTCTCTCTTTGTCTTTTGCTCTTGGAATTTTAATTATGATTTGTCTTGGTATGGTTCTCTTTGGATTCCTTTTGTTTGGAATTCTGTGCGCTTCCTGGACTTGTAAGTCTAATTCTTTACCAGGTGGGGGAAGTTTTCTGTCACTATTTCTTTCAGTATGGTTTTGATATCTTGCTCTCTCTCATTTCCTGGGACCCCCATAATTCTGATGTTGGTTCTCTTGCAGTTGTCCCAGAGGTTTCTTACATTATCTTCAATTTTCTGGATTCTCTCCCAGGCACATTTTGACTTCTTAGTGAAAGAGTGAAGCTTGGACCAAAATCCATGTAGGTGTCAAAACTATAAAGTCCTTCAAAAGGTCTTGACTATGGAGTTTATTAGGTATCCTTACCCTCAAATATAGCTTTCTCCTCAGTTATTGGGAGAAATGCTCACCTATCTGAATTAAAGTAACAAACTCGGAGACAGAAATATGACTAAAACGAGAATGTATTAGTTCCCGAGAGCGGGTGTCGGTCCAGCTATACATTCATCCCTGGGGCAGCGATCACAGCCTAATTATCCCCAAGGTGGAGAGTCCCTCCTCCGGCTCCTCATTGGTTGAGTACTACTGGGTTAATAGTTTCCTCATGCATCACCTAGATTAGGGGTGTCGAACTCAATCAGAGAAGGGGCCAAAATCTAAAATCCAGCCTAAATCGCGGGCCGAATGGTTTACTGAACAGTCATAAACTGTCATTGTGATGGAAACGCAGCGGAGTGCAGTGATGACAGCGCGGTGCGGGCCACATTGCAAGGCCTGGCGGGACGGATTTGGCCCTCGGGCCTTGTGTTTGACACATGTGACCTAGATCTTGCTGTCTCTCATTGGGCCATTTAAAAATGGGCGGAGGCCTTTCCTAGTTGTCTCTACCTCCTCCTGTTTAGTTGAGGCAGGTGCCTGAGGAGTGTGAGTGTGGAGGAAGGGGGTAGAGGGCCCAGTGTATTTCCACCATGATGCTGGCCCACATTCACAGTTCTTTGTTCTTCCATTCTCTCCCGTCCTCCCTACATTCTGTTAGCCCTGGGAGACTCAGTAGCGGTTCCATTAAATGTTGACTATGCTGGAGATGGATCCTAGAGGCCTATTTTCTACAGTTTTCTTATATTTTAGGTTAAGACATACTTTTAGGCTCAAATGATTTTAAAAATATCTTATGTCTCAATCTTCACTCATCAAGCTACAGTTTCAAGAAGACAAGAAAAGCAATGACTGATGTTTTAAGGAGTCAGCATGCAGTCCCAGCATTTGGCCGCTGGGAGGCGCCCCAGCTGGCATTGAGCTGAGTATTTCGATGAGCTGCTTCTCCAGAAGGGATGCTTGGAGTTGCCAGTCATACCTGTTCACGCCACATCTCTTTTCTCCGTGCTGCTGAGAGTCAGGCTGGCAAACAGGCCAGTTCAGTGGGAAGGTTATCAAAGGCAGCCTCCCGAATTCCCAGGAACAGGGCTCAAGAGATTGTGCTGCGAGTGACTGAAACGTGAAAGAAACAGAGGACATGGTTTTAAGTTTTATCTGTGTGGCAGTCATACCATAACCCTTTGGGTTTGGAAAAGGTAGAACTATGGGGATGAATACAAATGATGATTAGAATGATGCACACTAGAGTCTCAGTGGTCGGGAAACTGTGGCTCACGAGCCACATGCAGTTCTTTGGCCTTTGAGTGGCTCTTCCACAAAATACCATGGCCTGGGTGACTCCATTTTGAAGAAGTGGTGTTAGAAGTTTAAGTTTTAAAAATTTGGCTCTCAAAAGAAATTTCAGTCATTGTACTGTTGCTATTTGCTCTGTTGAGTAATGAGTTTGCTGACCACTGAACTAGACACGTGGACTGTGTCTTCCATGTAAGCAAATTCCCGGCAGCAGTGGGGAGATGAGAAGTCAGAAAAACCTGGCAAAGTCCTCTGAAGAAATTAAATTTCACCTCCGAATTTCTAGATGATTTTGTTTGGATGGACATTTCATGTCCTCTGTTTTTGTTTTTTGTTTTGGCTTTTGGGGGGTTCTTCCTGCTTTTATCTTTGAACTGTAAGTCACTCTCCTTTCCTCTTAACAACCATCGAAGCCAACCAGGACAGGTTCCTGCCTTCTGCTGACAGTGCATCTGCTGGGAGGAGGGTCCTGGATCCCATTGTGAAGTCCTGCTCCCTTACATGTTTCCTAAGCTACGTCCCTGACGCCTGAATAAGGTGGTGCCAAGTGGATGCTGACATTAGGCTGATTAATGGGGTCTGTCACTATGTAATCAGTCATGTCCTTTTCTGCTAGTGATATAAACGCCAAGCAATATAGCAAGTGTGGAAGACACCCTCTTAACTCTCTCTTTGATAATGTTTTTGGGTTCCCCAGAGGAAAAACAGAAGGAGATAAAGGCATATCTCAGATACATTGTGGGGTCAGTTCCACACCCCACAATAAAGCAAATATCATAATAAAGCAAGTCAC